AGGAATACAAGAAAAGTTAAAGGGTCTTCTTTAAGAAGAAGGGAAAACTATGAATAATAAATGGCCATAAAAAAGAATGAAATTTTACCTTTTGCCATAGTAGGGATGAGCCTAAAAGGTACTATGCTAAGAGAAATAACTCAATTGGAAAAAGAGAAATACTATACAATTTCACTTATTTGTGGAATCTAAAGAACAATAGAAAGAAACAAATAAAACAGAAACAGATTCATAGATATAGAGAACAGGCTGATGGCTGGCAGAGAGGAGGCAGATTTAGAGGCTCTGTAAAAAAGGTATAGGTATTAAGAAATACATATTGGTAGTTACAAAATAGTCATAGAGATGTAAACTACTGTATAGGACATATAGGCAATAGTACTTTAATAACTATGTATGGTGTCAATTGGGTACTGAAAATATCAGGAGGAACACTGTGTAAAGTATAGGATTGTCTAACTACTATGCTATTATCTGAAACTAATACAAAATAATATTGAATGTAAAATGTAATTTAATTTTTTTAAAAAGTTAAAAAAAAAGACCTCACAGATAGCAAGATGTGCCACTGCTATTTAAACATTATTCAACCAGGTAAATACAAATGATTCATGTCTCAGACTTAGATGAACTTGAATTTTCCAGTATTCTAGTACTCAGATTAGTGTGTAAGATGGTTGTCAAATTCATTTTCATGGGAGGCCATATCAGCCTCCTGGTTGCCTTCAAAGGGCCAAATGTAAATTTAGGACTGTATAAATGTAACTACTCCTTAACAGTTAAGTAAGAGCTTGGTGCTACCTCTAGGTAGAAATGAGGTGCTGGGCCAGAAAAAACAAGGTAGAGGACGGGATTCGTCCCATGGGCCTTGTGTTTGCCACCTGTGGTATAAGATATTACCTGATTTAGCATGACTTATGAAAAAGCAAAATGAAACAATGCCTGGGGCCTGAAGACTGAAGACTGCTAGGTTTTTCACTTAGGGGTTAGGCAGAGGTAATTGTCACTGCTTGATTTTCATGCTTCTCTGAGAATGGCCAGTCTCAGGAGTACTTTAGGTTTATGACTCTTCAAAGTGGAACTGAATATATAAAGTTAAAAACATATCACACAATCCCAGAATTGATTTTGCCAACCCAAAAATATTAGGACAACTGGGACATTAAAACTTAATGTTAAGCAACAAGTACCAGTTTTTGGATACTGTTCTTGAACTATGTAAATAAATATTTTTGATATTATCAAAGCTTTAAAGCTGTGTCTGTAACACAAAGTTAAGTGACTAATTTTAATAGTACTATGTTATATGTTCTGTATAGGTTAGTTCTGAAAGATATTTGGAGACATGTTTTTTACATAAATGCTACAAAAACAGAAAATAAACTCCAAGGTGTTGGTTGAGTGTGTGCATGTTGTGGCAAAAAAAAAGAGGCTTGTCCCTGACATTTCTGAGGTCTGGAATATGTTATAATTTAATTTTTAATAAATAAACATGCTGTTATTGGAATATTGTGTTTCCCACTTATATAAGTAGTTGTTTCTCCAATGCCAGAGAACACATTGTTGTGACACCCTTCCACATAGAAGGTTTCACAAACTACTTTTCTTAGTATTTGAAATTCCCAGTAAAGAATTTAAGTTTCTATTACCATGATACATTGAGATTAGAAACAGCCTGGGATAACAGTGACCTGAATTTATGAACTCATGGGAAAGATTGCATTTTTTGGAAATAGTCACTCATTCCAGAAACAGAGTCCTCAATTTAGGTTTTTTTTTTTTAAATATGTAGTATTTGGACTTCCAGCCAAGATGGAGGCATAGGTAGATACACTGTGCCCTGTTGCACAACCAAAATAAGGTCAGCAACAATTTAGAAACAAGATAACAACCAGATCTGACAGAAAATTGACCTGAATGGAAGTCGGACAACCAGGAAAATAGACGTTCATCCAGACCAGTAGGAGGGGCGGAGTCAGGCAGCCAGGTGTGGGTTGCTACGTGGAGAGTGTTGGGACCTGGCACGTAAGGCTTCCGAGTGCAAGACTGCAGCGGGTGGACCCTGAGTGCAAAAGTGGCAGCTGGCAGACCCTGGCCAAGGGGTAGCAAACAGCAGATCCAGCAAGGCAGCAATTGTGAAGCAAGGCACTGCGTGCAACGCGGGATCACAGTGCTGGGAAATAGAACCTCGGGGTACTGATTGAGGACACCTATGGGGACAGAGGTGCAGGGAGAGACTCCCAGCATCTCAGGAAAGGTTCTTGGAGGATCCCACAGTATGCACAAGCCCTCCTACACAGGAACTGACACCAGAGGGGCCCAGTTTGCTCGGGGGAAATAGCGGAAGGGACTGAAGCCCCACAGAGAGCGGAGCAAGCACCATTGTTCCCGCTTGGACCCCGCACCCACATTCAACCTCACAACCCAGTGACTGGAGTACCCCACCCTGGTGAACACCTAAGGCTCCACCCCTCATACATAACAGGTGCAACCAGACCAAATGAAAAAAATAAAGTAAATTAAAAAGATGGCTCAAACAGAATTAAAAGCCCCAGAGACAGTTTTTTTAAGCGACCGAGAGATAGCCAACCTATCAGATGCACAGTTCAAAGCACTGGTGATCAGGATGCTCACAGAATTGGTTGATTTTGGTCACAAATTAGATGAACAAATGCAGGCTATGATAAGAGAAATGAAGGGAAATGCACAGGGATGCAATAGTGATGGGAAGGAAACTGGGACTCAAATCAATGGTGTGGACCAGAAGGAAGAAAAAAACAAACAACCAGAAAAGAATGAAGAAATAAGAATTCAAAAAAAATGAGGAGAGGCTTAGGAACCTCCAGGACATCTTTAAATATTCCAACATCCAAATTATAGGGGTACCAGAAGGGGAAGAGGAAAAGCAACCAGTGGAAAACTTATTTGAACAAATAATAAAGGAGAACTTCCCCAATCTGGCAAATGAAATAGACTTCCAGGAAGTCCAGGAAGCTCAGAGAGTCCCAAAGAAGTTGGACCCAAGAAGGAACACACCAAAACACATCATAATTACATTAGCCAAGGTAAAAATGGAGAGAATCCTAGAAGCAGCAAGAGACAAGGAGACAGTAACCTACAAAGGAGTTCCCATCAAACTGTCAGCTGATTTCTCAAAGAGACCTTGCAGGCAAGAAGGGGCTGGAAAGAAGTATTCCAAGTCATGAAAGGCAAGGACCTCCATCCAAGATTGCTCTACCAGCAAAGCTTTCATTTAGAATGGAAGGGCAGATAAAGTGCTTTTCAGATAAGGTCAAGTTAAAGGAGTTCATCATCACCAAGCCCTTGTTTTATGAAATGTTAAAGGGACTTATCTAAGAAAAAGAAGATAAAAAAATGTATAGTAAAATGACAGTAAACCTACAATTATTAACAACCACACCTAAAACAAAAGCAAAAAGAAACTTAGCAAATAACTAGAACAGGAACAGAACCATAGAAATGGAGATCACATGGAGTGTTAGCAACAGGGGAGTGGGAAGAGGAGAGTGAGGGAAAAGGTATGGAGAATAAGTAGTATAAATGGTAGGTAGAAAATAGACAGGGGGAGGGCAAGAATAGTATGGGAAATGTAGAAGCTAAAGAACTTATTGACACATGGACATGAACTAAAGGTGGGGAATGTGGGTGGGAGAGGGTATGCAGGGTGGAGGGGAATGAAGGGGGAAAATGGAACAACTGTAATAGCATAATTAATAAAATATATTAAAAATATGTAGTATTTATCATTCTATAAACATTTAGCTGATAAACAGTAATATTTAAGTTCAACTTTAGTGGTGCTATATCCAATAGTTTAGTGTATAATACAAACATACAATTCAAATATAGAATACAAACATGAATGCTAACAATACAAATAAACTTACTGTTATTAAAAGTTCACTATAGGCACCACTGAACTCATGGGAGCATTAACAAGAATATTTTTATTCTTTCATTACTGTGTTTCACATGAGAAAACCAAAGTTGTCACATTATACCAAATTTCTTCTTTTTTTTAAAAACATTTTATTTATTTATTTTTAGAGAGGGAAAGGAGGGAGATAGATAGAGAGAAACATCAATGTGTGGTTGCTGGGGGCTGTGGCCTGCAACCCAGGCATGTACCCTGGCTGGGAATCAAACCTGAGACACTTTGGTTCACAGCCCGCACTCAATCCACTGAGCTATGCCAGCCAGGTACATTATACCAAATTTCTGCTTTTCAGAGCATAACTTTTGTATATAAAATTAAACACTGGCCATTTTAAACTTCTAAAAGATAGATTTTAATCTAATTAAATAATCCAAATATCTTTTATTCTATTTTAATATTGCCTGGTTTTTAAACTGTCACTCTATATTAAATTGAATAGGAAAGCATTTGTTTTCTTTTTGACAGAATTATATTAATCTCACAGCTACTTTAATCTTAAGAGTATTGTAGAGCAGAATAAAGATCACAAGTCAAAATTCTAGAGTTCACTTTAAAAATCTGGCCTTCCCTTAGATGTATGCAGAAACTGAATTCCAGGCACATTGCTTCCATGCCAACCACAGTAATTTGAGAGAGAAGTTTTGCTTTAGCTTTGGAAACACTGCAAACACATGAGCTTCTTGTCAGCTGCTTGTCTTACAAAGGAGCTGTCTAAATTGTGAGTAGGGAGTAGGAAGAATCAACATGCTGAAATGATTTTGATAGACTTAATGACTTTGAGGGATGTAAGTGAATATGTGACGTGTATGTGTGAGTGTGTATGCACTCTTATGGGTACAGAACAGAAATTTCATTTGAATACAATTTTCTATGGCTGTTGAAACTTTTTGTTTCTTTTAAGTGAACCATTTCATCTTTTAATAACAGTTCCAAACTCATGTGGTTTTTAAACTTTTGACATATAATTGAAATGGAACATCCAACTGTGAAGAAAGTTGATTGCAAAGCAATTTGAATTGATCTTACTTATTTTTTCCCCCAGGTCAAGCTAATGCCTCCTGCTCCAAATGATGACCTAGCAACACTCAGTGAACTCAACGATGGCAGCCTACTTTATGAAATTCAAAAGCGCTTTGGAAACAATCAGATATACGTAAGTGCCCTTGAAATTGTCTTTTGCACTGCATTTTTCTTGCTGCATATTTTTACCCTTCAGTGCTGCATATATTACAGATAATGGATTTATTGTTGCTTCTGGTCATGCTAATACCTTAAGGTGGATTTCTCAGAGCCCAGGTTGATTCTTCTGGTGCAGTTATAAGGCAGATTCAGCCAAGTCCAAATAACAGAGTTGTCAAGTGTAAGTTGATACTGAGGGTAGACAACTTTCTTATAATGCCTGCTGTGGAAGATCTTGCTAGAACCATCAGGATCTGTTAATCACTTTTAAAAGTGCTATTTGTTTCACCTATTTTGATATGGGCTTCTAGATTTGGAAAAGGAAGCTAAAGGGGAAAAGTTTATTATGCATGGGGAATTGCCTCCCTATTTGCATGAAAAGATCAAGTATTGTTGCTCCTCTAAATGATCAAAAAAATGTCTTCATCTGTAAAGTAAATAATTTATATAGGGATTTTTGACAACCTGTTATCAAATGAGACTCAGATGATAAACAGCATGGAAAATTTATTTGCTATGGGTCTATCCTGATTTATATGTGTTATTTCTACCAATACTAGTATGAATTTAGACACCATACTATCTCATCCTCAATATCTCTCCTGTCTGTCTCTCTTTCCTCTTCCTCTCCCTTATTGATTTTGTTATATTGAACTCAGAGTAATTCAATCAGAATGTGTATAGAGAAATCTGTTTGTATACATGTCTGCTCTTTCTTTTTATTAACACCCCTTTTTTCTACTGTACTGAGAAATCGAGTGAGTAATTTTTATGGAAATGTGAAATCTGAGATTTTCTTGCAAGTAACAAATTGTCAGGTGCTAGTTAGCCTATGTAAATTCAATACAGCATCAGAATGCTTGGATAAATTGCCTGCACTGTAAATTTACTTAAAATTAAATATGTCTCTCAAAATTAATGGAATTGAGTCATTGGCATAAAGTGGTGAAACTTGATTACTTTGGTTTGTTATTACCCTGTTACTTGTGTGTTATTTTTATTCTATTTTTTTCTCCTTACCCATCATTGTATTGATTCTTTTTTAAACTTCTTAATTTTATTATCAGAAGACCACTGCTTGAATTGTTTTAAATTTCTTCATTTGCTTCATGCTTTTCAAGTGGCTTTGTCTCCCAAATATCCATTTAATATACTTCCTTCATCTTGATGGGCATCATTGTCTTCAAAGCCACTGACATTTTTCTCCTACACCTCATAAATTTCTAGAGCAAACTTCATTCTCTCTCTCTGATCTCACAGTGAACTGGAGTAATTTTTGTAAAAATTAAATATAGTTTCAAATCTTCCAGTCTTAAGCCTTGCCTCTGCCTTATCAGTTTTCATGGGAAGATGACCACAATCCTTATTCCAGAGCCTAGAATCTCCTATGAGTCTCATTAGGATTTGAACACTATTGTTGGTGAGTTTTAGCCTCTGAGCATTGCCCTTCTTCCTGCATCAGGGAATTTTCTTATTTTTCTTTTCATAATGTTCTATTTCTAGCTTCATAAAATACTCGGCTTTATAAACTCTCACTCAAGAGTTCTTAAGTCTCTATGTTAACCTTCCAGATTAAGTCATTGCAGAGGATCTTTCTGCAGAGCACTTATAACTACTTGTGATTACATATCTCATTAGTGGTTTGATTAACATCCGGCTACCTGTCATACTAGACTGTGAACTCAGTGAGAATAGGAACCCACTGGTTTTTCTCACCAAGAGACCTGGCCTAGCACTTTCTAATCTTACATACTTTCTACCTCTTTATCTGAGACATGGCTCTAAATCCTCCACACAGTGGACCATCTTCATAGATCCCCTCTGTAATCATCAGAATTAATATTCTCTGCTTTGCTAAACTGCACATAAAATATAAATTTGCCACTGTGTGAGGCATGGTTTTTATTTTCTCCACATGTGAAATATTGAAGAGTTGTCTATGATCAATTTTGTGATATGTTCTGTGTTATAGTATTTGAATTCACCTCTCATGAATAGACAAGCAATTTAAACATTATTTATTGAATAGTAATAAATGATTCTCAAAGTATATTATATGGACCACTGGATATGTGAGCCTTTTACTAGCAGTCTAAAATGAGAGTAAGAGTTTTGATACTTATAGCAATTTTTAACTTATTTTTACTGTTGATGTTATTACATATGTCCTGTTTTCACTCATTTTGCCCACCTCCACCCAGCCCCTGCCCCCCCTTTCCTCTGGCCATCACCACACTGTCTGTGTCTATGGATTATGCATATATGTTCTTTGGTTAATGCCTTCACATTCTTTCTTTGATGGTTTAATTTTCATCTGTTAAATTAAATAAAAATCAAGGTTTATGTTTTGTATGTCTTTGTTTTTTTCAATTTCATTTTTCCAGGAATTCATCTTTACTATGTTTTTAAAAAGTATCAGTCCATGATGAACTGGAAATAAAAGCAAGTGTTTCTTCCCCACAAATATAATGGTAGTAGTTTAGTAGATGTGTAGAGATTAAAATTTTCAAATTTGATAATCTGATCTCAACACCCACCTTCTCAACATGTCCCTTCTATAGCCTCTTGCATTGCAATTAATGGCATGCTCTTCCTTCCAGCTTTTAGAACAGAGTGCCTGGTAAAAGTATTAATACTTGTTTTTCTTCCATATTTCCACATTGATATTACTGCAAACATTCACAGGACATGACTTCTGCTGCTGCCACAGGCTCCTAAGAGCCAAGATGCAATATTTAATTTGAATTTAAAGTTCAACAAGGATTTTCATCTTCTTTTTTGCTTTAGTCTGATTTGTTATACAAGATGCTCTTTCAAAATAATCTGTAAATTTCTCTCTTAACTAAATGTAAAGCATTTCACTGAGCTATTGAATTGGGAAGTTTCCACACAGTCTGTAGCAGTAGAAAGTTCCCAAGCCAACAACAAAAAATGAATTGCAGGTGATGAGATGTTGGTTGCTAGGAAATGCACAGAATAAAGGCATTGCATGCCCTGAACAGTTATTGTCAACAGTTACAGAGAATAGAAGATGCAATCAAATCCCTTCATGGATGGTCAATAAGCATGTAGGCAATGTTCTCTTTACAAGCACACTAGTAGAACTTGAGACTCATAAAGAAAAGAAAGCTCACACAATAGAAATAAATTATGTAACATCTCATTAGCCAAGTATGGAGGCTGGCTCATCTCAGCTCCTTAATAACTTACTGTTCCCTTCAAGGTGATCCAGTTTGATATAGCAGGTCTTCTTTATAAGAGCATCTCAAGAGGCACAAGCTGGTGTCAGAAGTTGAAGTATCTCTCACCTCCAGGTTATTTGAAATTATATGGATGGACACATTTTTTCTAAGCTAATACCACCTTCTAGCCTAGTCATCTGAAGTTTCATCTACAATATGCTATGCTGTGCAGTACCGTCAACTAAAAGACCCCTTGAACACTTGACATGTACATTATTTTAGAAAGTAACTTATGAGAAAAAATGATTTAGAAATCTTTACATTTCTATGATTTTAAAAGTTCTTTCTCCATGGCACATTTAAAATTTTCAATTTTATCAAAATGATCTCTTCATAATATGGTATAAACCTATATAAAGTCATTTTTATGACTGTGATAAATATTCAGGTCATATTTTATAGATTTTATTGTTTATTACAAAATGTATTATCAAGATAGTATCAATCTCCTTTAATAATTAGACCAACAGAAAAAATATATCTTAATAGGAAAGTGCAACTTAGAGTTGCTATATTTTGACTTTATCTTAAATTTTGGGGGGCTTCTGGCCAAGATAGAGGCATAGGTAGATATGCTTCACTTCCTTGCACAACCAAAAGAATGATAATAATGAATTTAAAAACAATAAACAACCATAACTGCCAGAAAATTGATCTATGTAGAAGTCTGACAACCAAGGAGTTAAAGAAACATTCATCCAGACCAGTAGGAAGGGCAGAGATAGGAAACTGATGCCAGGATGCGTGACAAGGTGGTGGTTGGCAGACCTGGCCAGACAAGGTAGTGGCTGGCAGACCACGATATCCCACTTTTGTGTGAGGATAAGCCAGGAGGAACGACAGGGGAGCAAGACAGGCACAACCCAAGGTTCCAGTGCGGGAAACTAAAGCCTCAAAACCTGTGATTATAAAACCCTGTGGAGGTTGCAGCAGTGGGAGAAACTCTCAGTCTCACAGGTGAGTTTGTTTGAGGGACCCATGAGATCCTAGAAACTGCACAAGCCCAGCCACCCAGGAATCAGCACCTAAAAGATTCCAATCTACTTTTGGGAAGCAAAGGAAGTGACTAAAAGCCAGCCAATAGCCAAGCAAATGGCATTGTTCCCTCTTTGACCCCTCCCCCACATATAGTACCACAACTCAGTGAAGTGGGTTTCCCCACCCTAGTGAATACCTAAGGCTCCAACCTTACAACGTAACATGTACCTTGAGACAAAGAATTCAAAACTTCAGAAAAAGAACTAAGTGATGAGGAGCTAGCCAACCTATCAGATGCAGAGTTCAAAACACCAGTAAGCAGGATGCTCACAGAAGTGATTGAGTATGGTCACAAAATAAAGAAGTGAAGGCCATGCAAAGTGAAATAAAGAAAAATATACAGGGAACTAACAGTGAGGGAATGAAAATGGGACTCAAAGAAAAGATTTGGAACAGAAGAAAGAAATAAACATTCAACCAGAACAGAATGAAGAAATAAGAATTCAAAACAAAAAAAAATGAGGAGAGGCTTAGAAGCCTCTGGGACAACTTTAATCATTTCAACATCCAAATCACAGGGGTGCCAAAAGAAGAGGCAAAGTGAGAAATTGAAAATTTATTTGAAAAATAATGAAGGAACATTTCCTCAGTCTGGTAAAGAAACTTCCAGGAAGTCCAGGAAACTGAGATAGTCCCAAAGAAGTTGGATCCAAGGAGAAACACACCAAGACACATCATAATTAAGTTACCCAAG